CAAGGAGAAAAGTTGCGATTCACATAGGAGTGGAAGAAGGGACAAAACAAGCACTCTACACTACTCAAACACTATATTACATCAAGATAGAAGTAGCGATTCACACCCAAGTGAAGAAACAAGTGAGACATGGGGAATGGGAGAGAGAAACACACATGTGAGCTCACACACACAAGGGGGGAAGTTGCGATTCATATGGGAGAGGAAAAATGGACAAAACAAGCATTCTACACTACTCAAACACTAGATTACATCAAGATAGAAGTTGCGATTCACACCCATGTGAAGAAACAAGTGAGACATGGAGAATGGAAGAGAGAAACACACATGTGAGGTCACACAGACAAGGGGGGAAATTGCGATTCACAAGGGAGAGGAAAAATAGACAATACATGAGCACAATAACACAAAAACACTAGATTGAACCAAAATTGAATTTGCGATTTACCCCATAGTGAAGATTAAGGGAGAGAGAGGAGAGAAAGTGAGTAAAACTTACTTTTGGACTCACACATACACAAGGGGAAGTTGTGATTTACATAGGAGTGAAAAAATAGACAATACATGAGCACAACAACACAAAAACACTAGATTGAACCAAGATTGAACTTGCGATTTATCCCATAGTGAAGATTGAGAGAGAGAGAGGAGAGAAAGTGAGTAAAACTCACTTTTGGACTCACACACACACAAGGGGAAGTTGCGATTTACATAGGAGTGGAAAAATAGACAATACATGAGTACAATAACACAAAAACACTAGATTGAACCAAGATTGAACTTGCGATTTACCCCATAGTGAAGATTGAGGGAGAGAGAGGAGAAAAAGTTAGTAAAACTCANTGAACCAAGATTGAACTTGCGATTTACCCCATAGTGAAGATTGAGGGAGAGAGAGGAGAAAAAGTTAGTAAAACTCACTTTTGGACTCACACACACACAAGGGAAAGTTGCGATTTACATAGGAGTGAAAAAATAGACAATACATGAGTACAACAACACAAAAACACTAGATTGAACCAAGATTGAACTTGCGATTTACCCCATAGTGAGGAAAGAGACTAACCGAGCGCTAATCAACACCAAAACTTCAAGATAATGAAGGAGGGGAGAAAGAAGAAGAAGAGGGGGAAGAGAAAGAGGGAGAGGAAGAAGAGGGAGAGGAAGGGGAGGGGGGTTGGGAACAAGATGAAGGAGAAGAAGAGGGAGAAGAAAAAGAGGAAGGAGAAGAAGAGGGAGAGGAAGAAGAAGAAGAAGAAGAAGTAGAAGAAGAAGAAGAAGAAGAAGAAGAAGAAGAAGAAGGGGAAGAGGATGAAGAAGAAGAAGAGGGTGGTTCTCTCCACTCACCTCTTCTTGGTCTTGGAATTGATATCCCAACCTTCGATGAAGCTTCTTCCCACTTAGCTATGGCTTCCTCCTTCCCCAAACCCTTCTCCTTCCTCATCTCTCCTCCCCCCGAGTTGCCACAACTCCTACCACTATGGCTATGGAGTCCTCCCCTCTAGGAGGGCTAATGGGACCCCTTCTAGCCTTGCCTTCTTCCTCACTAGCCTGGGAGCTATGGCGGATCACCTTCCCCCACTACCACTAGCCTGTAGAGCCCCACACACTAGCTCACAGTCTCCTCTAGGCTCCCAAACTAGCAGGGGTTCCCCTCACTTCACTCCAAGTGAGTGTAGTGTTCTCATGGGCACAATTGGGCAGCATGGGCACCAGGGTTGTCACGGGGGGCACCCCGGGGCCGAAGCCGGTGTTGGGAATTGACCCCCGGACACCCGCAGCGGGGGGGAACGACCCTCGGACCTCGCTTGTGACCCCCACGGCCGCCCGAACCCGGGGACCCCCGCGGGCAACTCCCGCACCCCGGCCCCGGCCCCGGCACCCCCGCACCCGACGCCGCCCACCCGGCCCCGCCAGCGCTGCGCACTTCCCCCGCCCCGCACCCCGGCCCCCCGGCAGCACCCCCGCACCCCGCACCGGCCACGCAACCCCGCACCCCTGCTGCCCGACGCACCCGCACCCCCGCTGCCCGACGCACCCGCACCCGCAACCCACACACCCCGCCGCCCGCACCCCCGCGGTCCGACTCCCGATCCCCGGCCCCCGCACCCCGCCACCCGCACCCCGC